TTCCAACATCCGCAACAACAAACTCGTGGAGGACGAGGAGGAAGAGGTGGAGATGGGGGCCAAAATGAAGCAAATGAGTGAATTTATCGTTTTATCATTGTAGTGAACTATCAATGTTGTTTTTGTGATTTTTAGGTGTTGTTATTTGAGTTTGCATGGTCTAAAAACTATCCTACGCACTTAAGTTGTCGAATGAATATTCTGGATCATTTTATCAAGAATCATTATCTTCCCTCAACACAAAAAAGTTGGGAAAATCAACCACGATCACATAGAATTTTACAGATCTCAATTTCGAGTCCAAACGAGTGAGATAAGTGAGTTCAAAGCTGCACATGTCGTTAAAGTAACTTTTGCGTACTAAAAACTAAAACGCGCGTATCTTATTCGTTTGAGGTCGAAATAACGAGCCGTTTTCGGCAGCGCGATCGTATCGACGAGGAGAACCATTTAGAGTTATCAAAATACTTGGAATTCAAATGAAGACTTCACCGTTTTTGTTTAAAACGGTGAAGTATTCACCGTTCTTAACAAACGCGGTGAACCCTTCACCGTTTTAGTTTGAAACGGTGAAGTATTCACCGTCTTGGTCAAAAGCGGTGATGACCTTCACCGTTTTTGTCTAAAACGGTGATGCTCAAACATGTGTACTTTTGGAATTTTTTTTATAACTTATGTATTTTGGGAATTTTTTTTAAAAACTAGTGTACTTTGGGATTTTTTCCCCCGTTATACCCGCCCCGCTAACCAAAGGGTCAATTTCCCTTGAGAAAATTATTTTACCTTGAGAAATTGAGTTTAGCTACCATTATTGATGATGAAGATGTAGACGATTATTATGTTTGTGTGGATTGTAGAAGCAAGAACAATTATTATGTGTTTGCTGTTTTTATTTGTGTGGATTGTTGAAGCTATAATAGTTACAAATATTGAGAATTTTTAATGGACAACAGTATATATGTGCATATATGTGTATAAGTTCATAGTTTAGGATTCGTACCCATGGTTACCCGAATACCCGTGGTTACCCGGTGGGTAGGGTATGGTTATATAATTTTCATACCCGGTGGTTATTTGGTCGGGTATTTTAGAAAACTCTACCCGGCGAGTTAGGAGTTGGTATAGGGTAAACCCGCACCCGATCCTACCCATTGCCATCCCTAATTCTGAGTCCCTATGTGCTTTTCTTTTATTTAGTTAGAATTAGGGTATGAATTTGGGAAATTGGGAGGGTAAAAGAGAGGGGGTCAGGGCAGGGGAATGACCGAATGGGTGGGGGAAATGGGTCGGTCTGGCTTGTTAGAGTTAGGTGGGGTTGGGTCTGGTTGAAATGGGTTGGATACAGTGGCAGATACATGAGCCTTTAGGGGTGTCCCGGGACACCCCTAAAATTTGGGAAAACGATTATCCAATCCCCGGTAGTATTTTCGTATGGATAAAAAAAAATTATAATTGGTAATCCAGGATACCCTTAAATTTTGAAAAACGATTATACTGTCTTCGGTAGTAGTTTGCGTATGATTAAAAATATATAAGTAGTATTTTGTGTTATTCAAACCTAGGACACTACTATTATTAAAAATATTCTTTAGGTTGCAACTCATTTGTTGTTTTATTTTAAACACTATGTTATAGTAAAAACACTATTCTTTATTCCCAATTATTTTCAAAACTTAACAATTAAACTCATTCGAGCTATCTTTAATTTGACTTGATTTTATAGGTAGTGCAAGAGTTGAAAGAGTCTTTCAAGTTTGAGTTACATTAGGAACAATGTTAGAAATCGAATATGCGATCAATTCTGGAATTATTTTGTCTAATATGGTATATTTGCACTAGTCAGATAATTTTTTATTTATGAATTATTTAATTTAATTTTTAATTAAATTTAATTTTTGAAAGAGGACACCCCTATACAAATTTTCTGGATCAGCCACTGGTTGGATATTGCAAAACCCAAACCCAATCCAGCCCACAAAATAGTAGAACGGGTTAAACTCGAACCCGACCCGTAATCCATCAACACAGGTTTCATTCGTTTTAATCGAATTGGTTCAAGTAGGGTATCAGTGGATAGGGTTATGTTGTCAACTAAACAAGATGTCTCTTCAAACGCTTACCTGGCAGTGACTGTGATGCAAGGGACCCATTTTCTTGTGACGTGGCTGTTCCTCGGTCCAGCTTCACAGAAAACCCATGGTCCATGAAACCGTACCGGAGATCGTACCGGAAAAGTCAGTGATAGCGTATTTTATGACAAAATCGTGGTTTAACCGTAGTTCAACCGTTAGTACTATTAAATACCGCCTATCGGTTTAGCCTCGATACTGGTATTTTGTGGTTGAACCGTCGGTACGGTACGGTTTAATGGACCATGAGAAAACCACAGCCACACAACAAAGATCACAGTCACACTTTGAGTTTACGTGTCACAATCTTAACGGATAGTTCCCAGAAAACATCAAATTGAAAAAGAAAAAGCACATTTCCTTTCAGTTTTGTTGGATAATCCCTTCTTCCTTCCCAACCTCATTTTCCCTCCTCACCGGCTCCCAAGTCCCACCCAGTATTCTCCTCTTCGCTTGAAAAATCAAGAAATAAACGAAGAACGGAGAAAAGGGAAAATGCAATCCACCATGAGCTGAGTACAGAGATTCCATCAGCTTGCTCCAAATCTCCCTCTGAAATTCCTGCCGTCTCCAATCGTTTTTCGCTGCTCACGTTGCAAAGCTGAGATACGCAGAATCAACAGTGAAAACATGGCGGCAGTCACTTCAGTCTCCTTCTCCCCGGCGATGGGTCACTCTTCCACTGACGGAAGGTCTTCCTCCTCATCTTCCTCCGCTCGCTCTCTAGCTTTCTCCACATGCGAAGCGTTCCGTTTCCGAACTTTCCCTTCTGCTCGCGTTCGTGGCTCTACCTCCTCGACCTCTGGCTTCGTCATCCGTTGCATGTCTAGTTCTACAGGTAATTCCCAAATTTTCTACCAGCAGTGCTTTGATTGGTATACGGGAAAAGTTGAATTAGAATGGAGGATTCTAGAAATCGGGATCGGTGTGTTTATTTGGCTCGGTGCACTGAACTTGATACGAATTGAATTAATTAAGTTCTTCTCGATAAGGTGATTAGGTTTAAATTGCAGCATTACAGCATCCTTGTCTCAGGGTTTGATTGAATTTGAGGAAGTAGAATGTTTAGTGTTCCGCTTGCTAGAAAATCCAATAATCTGTGACGCTTAAGAACTGCCGATTAGTTGATTCTATGGCCTAATTGATATTTCAGATTTGCCGACTGTGGCCCAAACCAAGTTGAATTTTCTCAAAGCTTACAAGAAACCAATCCCTAGCATCTACAACAATGTTCTCCAGGAGCTAATCGTGCAGCAACATTTGATTAAGTACAAGAAGACATACTGTTATGACCCCGTGTTTGCCCTAGGCTTTGTCACTGTTTATGATAAGCTCATGGAAGGATACCCGAGCGACGAGGACCGCGAAATCATTTTCCAAGCATACATCAGGGCCTTGCAAGAGGAGCCAGAACAATACAGGTTCTTCTTCCTCGTACTTCTGATGTTGTTTGAAGGTTTATGAAGTTACGGGTTCATAGTCATCGCTTGTGCATTCTGAAGTACAGAAATGATGCTACGAAGCTCGAGGAGTGGGCAAGAACTCAGACATCTGCTTCACTGGTCGAGTTTCCTTCGAGAGAAGGTGAAGTGGAGAGTATGTTGAAAGATATCGCAGAAAGAGCTGGCACTGGTAAATTCAGCTACAGCCGTTTCTTTGCTGTCGGGCTTTTCCGCCTGCTCGAGCTTTCCAATGCAACTGACCCCACTGTATTGGACAAGGTTAGTAGTTCTCTAATTCCTGAACAGGTTCGAGATTGTTTGCTCAATTTACGTTTAATGGAGATGCTCATTGTTGTTTCAGCAATGAGTTGTTGCATTCGTTTCTCGCCTAATCTGTCATCAGCTTGAGTTTTAAATATTCTTAGTCCATATTTTCTGTGTTAGTTTGTCCTCCTCTTGTTTCTACTTCAATTAACCCTAAAACCATAGAAGAGTTGCCTCAATACTTAAACCCAGAACAACATGCAACAGCTTTGCGCAGCGCTAAACGTGAACAAGAGGAGCGTGGACAGGGATCTTGATGTATACCGCAACCTGCTCTCGAAACTTGTCCAGGCAAAGGAGTTAATCAAGGAATATGTCGAGAGGTATTGAAAAATTAGCATAGAAAACTAATTGAGTTCCCTCTTCCTGTTGAAGTGAGTGCACATTTGAGTCTGAATATGGATTGACTAACACTGCATTTTCGTTTATGACCAGGGAGAAGAAGAAGCGAGAAGAACGAACAGAGTCGCAGAAGGCTAGCGAGGCCGTCAAGAACTGCTTGGGACAGGCTACCTATGTAGGGCAGATGTAGACCAAACTGAGTAAATGGCTCCACAACGGTTATTTATAATTCCTTCCTCTTTAATTCGAGGATAGAGTTGAAGTGTGGGTTTTCGCAGCTTTGGAACTGATCTTCGTTGCAAATATTGTGGGCTTGCAATATTCAGATCAGTTCTGTTCCCTGTGGGAAATGAATGAATATAGGATTACCCCTCAGGATCTTGTTTATAATTCGTCTTCCATTTTGCTGCTCCAACTCTCTACACAGAGTGTAAGAACTTAAAATTCAACTGTTAAGATACTCTCTTGTAATGATGCCTTTCTTCTTCACTGTTTTGGAGTTATTTTTGTTAATGACATTAACAATGTGAGATAGATATCTTAAGCATTGCTTTATTTTCTTCTTGACATTGGCAATGCTTGATTGATGAATCCAAGAACATAGACTGCAACTTCTAAATTCATATTTTCCGTGTGAAAAAATGACCCCATAAATTCATATTCCTTTATGTGCAACCCACACCTACTTACCACCCCAAATCACAAGTTACAAGGACTATTTTAGTCCTTGTCAGATCAAGAAAAGGAAAAAACATGTTAACATTCAACTAAGAAGATGGGAAATGTCAAACTCATCTGGCATCTTGAACGTATCAGCAGTTCCAACTTCTTGAACTCTTCCCCATGTACAATCACGGTCCTCTTCGTCGTGAGCATCGTGTCTCGGTGTCGATGGATCGTTCATACTCCTTGATCGGCAGCCATTCGTGGCAAGTATAATCACCTGACCTAGGCGTGAGATCACTACAACAGTGTCGTCATCCACTGGCAACGGTTGCTTCCATGGCTCCCCGTCGATCCTCATGAAAGTGTGATCTGCTGCGCCTTTGTGGAACTCGAACCGGATTCTATGTGCCTGTGCGAGGCGAGTCCCGTGTACTTTAGGTGCAAGTAGGACGATTCCGTGCCATGCGTCTCTAGAACCGACAACCTCGATACGCCCATCGTCCACAAAAGGTGGAGTTAAGTCTCTCTGCATCCAAGATTGTTAACAATTTTTTTGTTCATTGGTTGTGGACTGCGCATAATACTCGATGGGGGAAGGAAAAGCAGTAATTCACTGAGCAATGCAAATATGTGACTGGAGTTAGCGGAGAATGAAGTGCACATCACCGCGTTTCCAAGTACTTGGCGTTCCCCAAGGGTTTTGCCCGCCAGAAAAGCTGGGCAAGTTGAGGCACACTATTGATCGTATCCTGTGGACCAGAAGAAAAAAAATAATGGAATGAGTTCCATCTAAATCGCCAGGAAGTTTTTTATAAGAGATACAGAAATCTTGCCCATTGGATATGGTTAGATCTTCCCAATGCCCTGATCTTTTCATAACCTTCACCTTTGCTAGGCTAGCTATTCTGCAGTAGAATATAGATGATGTCAAATGTCATGAATTGTTCAGCAGTATGCATTCCTATGGAGAAATTACATCAGACATTTTTACATCATCTCATTCATACACAACTAGATCAGACAGAAGGAAAAAAAAAAAAAAAACAAAATCCTCGCCTTGAGTCGGACTGAAAAACAGCGCAAAATCACCCTTGTGTGCAACTAAGCTTAGCATAAGTGCTCTGGTCAGAGGCAGAAAAGATAGCAAGGGCACAGTAGTTAGAAACATCATGAGTACTAAGCAACAATTGATGTATATACTGTAATGGCAGTAATGATGTCTGAGAACTATCCCTACAGAGTGTGGTTGGACAAACCAAAAGCATAAGACATGAAAAAGAATAGCTGTGATTTGCAATGCATTGATATACTCATATTCCTAACTCAAATAGCCTCAAAGACAGAATAGAGGAGAAACAATCATTCAAATGACATGAAGATACCTGATTACACAGCTGGTTCTAAAATTTTCGGGATGCAATTTCCACTCAGAGTGAAATGCATAAGATACTTGAGCATCCATGCCTGCAGAAATGAAACATGTAGTTGTGTCAAATAGCCAGGCAGACCAAAGATGATAGCAGGCTCCCAAAAGGGGGCAAGCGAACTCGGAAAAAAATTCTGACATTTTGCAGGTTAGCCAGCATGGAAGGTTAAAACAGCAGGATGAAGCAAACATTTAACGTCTTCACAAGAAATAATGGTTTTGTTCTAAGATGGGGAGAGATTTGGAATTCACCCCAAAATCAGAAAGCACATCGTTCAAAAAAGAAGCTGCATAATATTGAGACAGATAAAGCAAGATGGATGAAATAAAAGTGCCAAGAACCAAAAGGGATCATTATGTTCAGACATGAATTCCTACCCAAGCTAAAGTAGTTCCAGAGTCCACCGCGAAATGTTGTATATCCTTACTGAATGGAAGCACATGTTGTCAATTTCAATATATACCATGATATCATTAAGAAGTTGATTAGTGGTAGAAAGCAGGAGAGCCAATGCATGAATACTGGCCATCACAAAATTAGATTCTTTTGCTAGGTTGTCATAGTTCATCAGTATCTAGTGATAGGGGTTTGAAAATCTCAGTGTGGATTGACACCGAATGAGAAAATTTGAAGTCGAGTTGGAATTGACAAAAATATAGAACTTTTGAGCATTTAATTATCTGCAACTATTTGGTTCGAAAATTTGATGCACGCAAGCCTAAAAGGATTTCAGGAAGGAAATACTTCAACGACAAATTAGTCCACTGTATAGCTTTAACATCAATTTCTGGTATCTAAAGCTAGATCCACATAGGATTCAAGTTCCATAAAGTCACCAGTTATTTCCTAATTGGCTAGCTGTTGCCTGCCAGGGGTTCAAAATGTATTGAAAGACCTTGTGACACTTCACATTCTGAGCCTAAGATATTGTGACACTTCCTTCATGGAGTTCATGGAGGAGCGGTTTGCCCGAGGCACCGACAAAGGATGCTCGAATTTGGATCTCACAAAACCCGAAGACAAGTCCAAGTTGGAGCTAACTATAGAAAATTTCATGTCAAGCAACTCATTGGAGCTTGTCATGGAAAACTTTGAAGGAACATGCTCCATTACACATTTGACACTACAAGAGAAGGTTGCGAGAATGTGCACGCCTTCATATCTTACCACTTGAAGAGAAAGAGGAGGTTGAAGAGGCGATCAATAACAACAGTGTGGAGCAAGAGGAACTCACCCCCAGAGAGATTTCGTGGAGAGGATGACCAAGAGTGTTATATTGATGGCTTTTACACCTTTCTTCTTCCCGAGAGAAATTTACTACCATATGGAGGGCATGGCTTGGAAACTTTCTATTCGACACGTGCTTGATTAATATTGAGAAAGGTTGAGAGAAAGGGTTGAGGAGGAGGACTTAAGTATTGAAGAAGAGGAAGATATTGGTTGTCCTCAAAGGGAGGAACAAATTAAGGGAGGTTGAGGATGAGGTCATGGTGGATGAAGCTTCTACAAGTTACAAGTGCCACCAAAGCTTTCCACCAGACTTTGATGCACTACTTGAGAAAGACCCATTTGCACCTCTTTTCCAAGCAAAGGCCAAATTATTGTAGATCCCTCTTGGTGGATGTGATGTTTGTCAATTCATAATGTTCGACATGGTATGGGGCAAAGAGTAGAAACAAGAAGAATAGAAAAGAGGTCTTGTGGGTAGAGCTTCAATTCACACCAAGTTTGTGAGCCATTTACATCATTTGAAGCATTATATGCTTGGAACTTGTCCTTCCACTTTGATGGCAAGAACTTTAACTTTAAGGAGGTGCTAGGGTCGACCAAACTTTAAGGAACAACCATCTAGCTTATGACGTAAAAGTAGCACTTTTTGGGACCCAACGCTGGTTTTTTTTTTTTATTTTCTTTTGATGTCTAGATATTGTGTTTGTGTAATAACTTCTCCTTTGGGGAGCATGTATTTTTGCTTGTGTTTTTTTGTTAGCTTTCTCTCTCCTTCCAAACTGGTCCATCTCCAGTCCGACTTTCACTCCCCAATGATTCGGTATCTTCATTCCATGCTTATTCTTGCTTCATTGGGGATAATGTTGTGCTTAAGTGTGAGGGGTGTTGAATATTTATGTGAATGGCGAGTGAATGCGAATGTGATGAATGGCCTAGTTCTTCTATGCCTAGAGCCTTTGTTTTACCAAATTCCTACAATTTTAGGGCTACAAGTGCTTATGAATGAATGATTGAATAATGGCTACATTTTGTGTCTTATGGAACCTAGATTTCATGCTAAAAAATTTAGAACCTTAAGGGTTCCAAATACATTGTCTCGTGCATGAATCCTACTCACCGTGCTTTGAAGAGTTTATGTTATGATGGTGTGCATTATAGGGAGTAGTATGGCGGCACGAGGTTTTTTATTATCATGGGTAGCTTTACTTCTATCTCCTCTAGGATGAGTTGATAATGTTTACTATCTAGGTTAGGACATGTGTGCGGGACTCTTTCTCAAAATTATGGATTCTAAAAAGTTTTGCAAAAGGTGCTTCATTTTCAAAATATTTTGAAAAATGAGTGTTCTCACATGAGAGGAAACTGGGCATAGTGTTTGAGTTAAGTCGTCAAGGAACTTTTCTCATGGTCCGTGTTTGTGGATTGGATATCTTTATAGTGCCCCGATCATCATTTACTACTTTCCAACTCCCAAACACCTCTCCTCCTCATGGAGGAATTGGTGCTTGTGGCAATGAACCCAACAATCAATTTTCCCACATGAGGCTTTGATAGAGAAGGCAATGCACTTCTGCTCTTAGCCCGAGGGAGAGATGCCTAAATGGAAATATTGCAAATGTTTGGTGCCATGTGCAAAAATGTACGTTGAGACTCGAAAATTTATGTCCTCTTTTGAAAAAAATATGAGCACCACCATGGAGTCCATCGCTTTTCATGTTTTCTTGAGAGTCCCCCGGTGCATGCGTAAAGTGTCTAGACCTCCTTAGTTAACAAGGTCCTCATTCGAGAGTGCGTGTTGTCTTTGATGTGCTACCAACAAACTATAGTGCATACCATTATGAATTTCTTTCATTTGTTGCACTTGTGTGAGTTTGGTTTTCTTGGTGACAAGCAAACAATTAAGAGTGGGGGAGTTTGATTCGAGCTATTTTATACATGTTTATACCTTGTTTAATTGGTTATTTGGCATGTTTCATATTGTCCGTTGAGCCATTTTACTTTAGGTTTGGTCTTGTTCTGGCATGTTTCAGACTTGAGCAGGTAGAATGGGCAAAACAATCGAAAGTTTGACGAAAGGGATAAAAAAGGGGGGAAACGATTGAAGATACATATCACAGTATAGAGGAGAGGCCATGAAGTTTGCTAGCACGCCATGAAGATCGCAAGGTTCCAGGAGCAGCTTCGTGCCTCGTGGGCATTACATGGATCATGCCCTCAAACCTTGATGATTACATGAATACTTTAAAGTTTGCACAGAAACGGTGCACTTTCAGCTGAGTCATGGTTTGCATTTAATTGTCACCAATGTAGTCAAAATCCCGATACAATCTTACTTAAGGGTTTCGATCCTGATTTTACTAAAAAATCTTTGAACCATAAAATCCCATAAAATCCAATATAAAACTTTAAAATCCTTAAAATCTACAATTTCTACGATTTCGTATGATTTTAAGGTTCATGTCAATTGGAGCAAAATCAAGCCGTTCAAGTAGGGTTTTGACCATGAACCAGGTCAAGTTCACTTCCCCTAACCGAACATAATGAACAACACAATCCTATCACGATAGGTGACCCACATTTGATTATCGTTGTCTTACTCATATCTTCATCTTTTGCACGATGATGTCGAACTCCTTTCTTGGAAGGATTTTTTCACCCTCCCAAATAGCTCGTAGTTTCTTCCCACCACACTCGCAATTAGCCCAATCCCCATTCAATTGCAAGATTCCTGATCTCCCAAACCTTAAGCACCATTATCCCCTAACTTTTATTGATCAAGAAAGGAATGCATCAATTAATGAATTACCTTTGTCACATGATGGCGATCAAAGAAATATGGTTAATGGTGAAACTACTTCAAGCGATCCCGAGAATA